AAGAGACCATCCAGACAGAAACCCAATATTTTTACTGTTGCCTTTTTGTTACATTTGTTATATTTGTGCTGATAAATAAATAAAGGGGAGACTAGTATAGATCTATTTCAAGCTATTTAGCTCTCATCAGCTAGCCATCAGGTGCAATACAGCACAGGTTCGATTCCCAGTAAGGGTATGGCTAGCTGATGAGAGCTAAATAGCTTGAAATAGATCTATACTAGTCTCCCCTTTATTTATTTATCAGCACAAATACAACAAATGTAACAAAAAGGCAACAGTAAAAATATTGGGTTTCTGTCTGGATGGTCTCTTGTGAAGGAGAAACTCTAGGAGGAAAAAAAATGTCAGCAAAAAAGTTAATATGTTATAACTTCTAAATTCAAAATTGTGCATGAATTGTGATGAAAGAGGTTAGGAAGATTCCCTGCCCCAGCCCATCTAAATGTCACAGTTGAACATTTGCTATGTGAATAGTAAATATTATATGATTTAAATTCATTTGCAGAAGCAATTGAGTGTCTATAACAAGACATTCAATTCCCTATTCCAGAGGTTTGTTATTTGGGAGATGAGAATTAAAAAGTTTGGATTTTTAATCATATTGGTTTGATTCTTTGTTCCAGGCACCTGGTGTGGCAGAGAACCGGCCTTCCGTGTTGAAAGGTGACCATCTGTTTGTGAGCTTGGTTGAAGGGCTACCAAAATACAAAACTCCCTTCTATAAAGGTTACGTCCATGGTGTGGAATTGGATCAAGTCAGACTGGGGTTTTCTGAAAAGTGAGTACTTCAGCTTCAGCCTACAGTTAGATTTTTTTTTTTTTAAATGAGAACAAGATTGAGATAATTGGCTCATAATCCAGCCTGGATGTTATGTAAGGTTTAGGTAGGAATAGTATTTAACAGGTATAATTTAATAGAGTATGATTTAAATTGTGTGTATTAAATTTAAATATTTAGAAATGTTAGATTATGGGGATCTTCATTGCCTTAAAGTTAATGTCCGCTGTACAGTTGCTCGACAATTTAATATTATTGATAATCAAATGTATGGGAAAGTTCAGCATTTTTCAACTTGGAATTCTCTGTGTTGAAACTCGGATGTCAGAATTCTTTCTGGTAGCAAACTGGGGGAAGGCTATAACAAGAGATTCCCAAATCTTGTATACAGTATTTACACTATATTGCCAAAAGTATTCGCTCACATGCCTTTACTCGCATATGAACTTACAGTATTTAACCTGTGATTATGTCTTCCCGACTGA